GCGACCATTAGCTGAATGTACTATTAATAAAATTCTGGGTCGCAAGTACTCACCTTAATATTTAAAAAAAAAAAAAAAAAACTTCCAAGTCTTTACATTTATGTCAAGTAAATAATCAATACTGCTATATTAATAGATAGCATTTATCTTACTAATAATTATTTAAATAATATTTATTAACAGACTTAATTTATTAATAATCAGTTTACTAACAAGTTAAGCATTGTTAAATAATAAAAATAATTGTTGATAAAAAGACTGTTGGTAAACTAGCTATTAATAAAATAAGCCTGTAGATAAACTATATGTTAGCAAATTAATTATTAATTTTTCATTCTTATTTTTGTATTATTATAGATGCAAGATGATAATGCAGCATTCATTGACAATACATTCAATTACCTATTGGCTTATTCTTTTGCACTCTTTAAACAAGTCGAAGACAAAGTAATAGAAGTTTAAGAAGTAATACATATGACCTAACAACAATCTCAACTTCACATATTTTTGCTTTTAGATAGTTCTTTTATATGCAGCTGTATACTGCTAATTAATCATGGATATTCTTGCAAACATTTTTTTAGAGTTATTGTATATTCTTTTATTGCCAAATTTTCAATTAATTTTGTAACAAAGCATTGGTTGCTTAAGAAATATCAAGATGAAGATCATGGTATACAGCCTCTTGTTTATTTATCCACAGTTTTAACAGGATTATCTGAGAAATCAATTCCAACTGCTATATTATATTCAAATGAATATGCAAATTTGTTTTCTCCACCAAGTAAAATGTCTATTGCAACTTATCTTTTATCATTTAATGCTAAAAAATCAATGCAGAAAAAAAAAATTTATGCTAAAACCATTAGAATTGCATGAAAGACCATTAATATCACCATTGAGAAAGATAATTTAAATGTTCTTAAATTTTTAAAGAACTATATTCTTCAAAATAAAGGCTCTCTTATTAAGAACATAACTAGTATATTCTCCTTCAGTTATAAGACAAATGTACTTGAAGAACACTCTAAGCCAAATATTATTATTGAGAAATCACAAGTAACAGTTTTCAATTTTATAAAAAAAACTAGAAAGGGTCAATAACTAAAAATAGCATATTATTAATCATCATTAGAAAATCAATCATCAAAAGCTAGGGCTGTTAATCTGTTCCAACCGATCCTAATTAGTCTTAAGATAATTTAATAAATTACTAGTTTTAGAGAAGTATAATCACTTATCTTGAATAAATAACTTATCTTAAAAACTTCTTGGAAAGAAACCTTATTAATAATTCTTTTAAAACAAATCATCTTAAAAACTGGTAATTTGCTTGGAACTGATGCTGATCAAATCAGTCCTAGGACTAATTTGATTAGCATTGGTTTCAAGCAAATTAATAGTTTTTAAAATAATTTTTTTTAAAAGAATTATTAATAAAGTTTCTTCTTAGAAAGTTTTCAAAGCAAGTTACTTATTGAAGATAAGCAATTATACTTTTTTAGAACTAGTAATTTATTAAATTATCTTAAAACTAATTAGGATCAATTAGGACTGATTAACAGTAGTACAAAACAATCAAAAAGATGTGTCTGGTTAGGAGTTACTTTAGATGCTTTCAGTTAAGGACTTCTAGTATTGCTATCAAAAATTCTCCTACTTGACCAATGACAAAATTATTTATGTTAGGTTGAGGTTAGAGTGAATGCCTAGGTTATATAATTTATAGTAAAATTACTCAAGAAAAATATTTTGTTAATCTATAAAAAATGGTTTCTTATATAAATAAGCATTTTTAACAAGAGACATTTATTTTTCTAATCATGTTATATTACACCAAATTGAGATCATGAAATGAATTTTTGGTGGTGATACAAGAGTAGTTTCCAGTTGAGATAAATAATTTATGGTTACATAACCTGTAATGTTGCATTGCAATTCATTTAATCACATGATATATGTTACAAAATTTTGATTAGCTAATTATAACCCTGCACATAGTGCAGAGTGTATTAAAAAATAATATCCAAAAATGTTTATTTTAATAATTTTAATGATCTGAGGTTAAAAATTTGATATTTGTTCAATAAAAATATAAAAATAATATAACAAGTACTTATACAAGTTTAATAATTATAATATAATACTATTATATATAAATAAATATTAATATATTTACTTATAAAAAACATTTACTATAAGTAGCATAGTTTTAAAGATTAGTTATCAAGTTGTCTATAAAATATTAATATAATTAATGTTTAATATAATTAAAGTTTGACTTAAATATTTAATTTTTATGCTAACTTTTTTTTGTTTTTTATTTTTGTGAATATGTGTAATAAATTTTAAAGATTTTCTATAAGTTAGTGTTTTGATTTTTTTTTGTATATACTCTGTACATAGTGGATATTGAGTAACCAAAATTGGAATAGAAATACTAGAATCTCCATATTCAAAGCATAATAATAAGAATATTTGAGCCAAATAATAAGCCTTTTTTATTGTTGAATTACAGGTTAGTCTGTCATTTATAAACATCTTTTCAAATAATTGCTTAATTGTTGTTTCATTAGTATCTAATAATTCTAAACTTGATAAACTTCTAGTTTTAAAATCATAATCACTTTCTTTACTATCTATTAATTTATTGCTTTCATCAAATTTGTTAAAGTTATAATCATTTTTACTACTTACTGATTCATTATAATAATCACTATCTTTATTATCTATTAATTCATTACTAATATTATTACTTTGGTAGAATAGATTTTTCCAAGTTTCTGAATCTGAGTATTGCAAATTATTTATCTTATTTGGTTCAATAAACTATCAGTATTATTTTTACTATATTCATTATTGCTTAATTCAATTTTATTACTAACATATTTTTTACTTTTTGATTTCAATTCAGCAATTACTAATTCAGATTTACTTTCTAATTCAGCATTAGCTACTAATTCAGATTCACTTTCTAATTCAATATCAACTTCTAATTTGAATTTATTAATTGATTGTAAAGAAGTTTGATTTTAAATGCCAAATAGATTTTCTGCATTACAAAATAATGAACCACAATAATAATCAATAGTATTCAAGTATGCAATTAATAAATATTTTTCTTGTTCATTTAATTTTTGTTTGAAATAAAACAATCACTAGCATTCACATTCTGAATATATAACTATTATATCAATATTTTTTGCTCTTTGCATTGTACCATTAAATAGTATACTGTTCTTTAATTTTAATTAAGGTTTTTTGTTATTTTTACTATTTACAAATGATGAATGATAAATTTCAGTAGCACTATTACTATATACATTATTTTTTTTTTTTTTAAATATTAATGATGAGACCATGCCTCTATCTTTATTGAATATTCAATTTGAGATTTTACATAAAGTACAAGTCTACTTTTAAAATATTATAGAAAGAATAGAAGCTCAGACTAATTTATCTGCG